CGATCCCCTTCCCCCCTGTATCCCCCACCACACAAAACTCACCCCCACACGTAAAGATTCATGTAGTACAACCAACAACAAGCCTTCCCCATGTGGTTCGTGTTTTACAGAAGAAACGACGCGCGCTCCTCACTTGAAGCGCCGCCAATTTACGCGCACTTTACGATTATCTGCCCCTACCTATGTTATCCCTGCTCGGACTCTGTGGCAGGTTCTTTTTGTTTTTGAATGTGTGTGTGTGTGTGTGTGTGTGTGTGTGTGTGTGTGTGTGTGTGTTTGAGAGAGGGGGAGGTCGTTGTTTGTAAGTTTGTTATTTCTGGCACAAAGCGGTCAGTGTTATGGTGTTCCCTTTGGGACTTAGACTCAGTTACCAATAACAAAAGTGGTTTGCTTCTTGTCATAAACCTGACTGTGAGGGTGCTTGCTGCCGCATTCACCATTGCAGATTTCTGAAAGCAAAGAGAAAAAAAGATAGAAGAAGTGATATGCGAAATTGTATCATGTTTAACGCCTTTTACAACCGTAAGGTTATTTATGAGGAGAGACCTCCGAATTCAACGTTTATCTCCGATAGGGTCGAGCCAACATGAAAATTCATGTTAAACACCTATTCTGAAGATACAACATTGGACCAATCTCATCCTGAAATCCCCTGAACCCGCAATCTAACGGCAACGAGTCCGTACAATAGGATACTGACGCCATCTAAAAAGAAAAAAAAATCGCATGAGGAAAGGGAATACCCAAAAGCAGAGTCACTAAATGGACATCCAATGATACCAATTCTAAAACCTTACAGACTCATAACTTAATGTATGTTGGACTGATTGTTTATTCTCATGGTTAGTTGAAAGGAAGAAAAAGAAAATAAATAATCTACCAACTGTCAAACAGAAACGAAGATATGAGTTTACAACGAGGATGCTTGGCCTACAAGTGAACATGAACAAGTTTTTAGAATTGATATCAGCGATCTTTGTTGATACTATCACGATTTCCATTTTTTTTTTAAAATTACGCCCGTTTTTAGCAGTCGATATGTATTCGTACCGCAAAGCTGAGGAGAGGTGTTCTTGGCAAGCTCTCGGCTTTGTCGATATCATGCTTGGGTATGATGAGGTAATCGTGGTTCGAATGGGATGTTTTTGAAGTTGGTTTGTGTTTGAAAATGTCAGGACTGCCATCTTCGTGCTGATGCTAGTCTGGTTTGAAATTACCGGCGTGTGAAGTATGATGGTTAGGCTTTTAATTAAAGTTCCCAAAATATGTATGTTCGATTCTCGAAAATGACGTGTTTGTTTTTTTAGTTTGTATGCCATCCTGCTTAGACGCTGTGTACCCCATTTAGCCAGCGTTGGCCTTAACAGACAGACGATGCACCTGACTTCTAAATGCTCTGAATTGTATCGACGGTGCGCGAAACATCTACAATCATATAAGAGCTAGTTGAAAGCGTTGACCTAGATATTTTAAGTCACACGCGCATTAATTCTTTTTTTTTTTTTTGGTAACAAAACGAAGATCCATTGCGTCATAATTTTGTAAAAGCTGTATCTTATTTGGTTGGGGGGTTTTTTAGTAAAGAGAAGCGCATCAACACGATAGGGGTAATTTTTTGTTGGGATAAAGAAATACAGACAGACAGAAACAGCAGGGGGGGAATGAAGAAGCAGGACCTATCAGAGGCGCCCTCCAACCAACCGTGCTATTTTTAAAAGTTAAAGTCTGCCATGCTGCTATTTTATTCAAGTTCCACAAATCGCAAGCGACACCGACACGGCACTCACCGACTTCCACTGTGTAGTTGCCTGGCAACCACTGTTCACATGGTCCCTGGGTCGGGTCACAGTTGGGGTCAGGCTCTGCCTTAAGTTTCAGTGTCTCGTTGTATGAGCCGGGAGGTTGTGACTCCTGAAGGAAGCTGCTCTCTGGAAATAAAAGGGGGAAAAAGCAGATGCGAATACAAACTAGATCTAGTACGCACATAGCGAACATGGACATAGCGAAACACGCACAGAGCGAACAAATTTTTCAGGCCTCACTTTATTTTTTTTTATACGTTATAATTATTCTTCGCATTTATAAAAGACACACTAGCGAAATTTGTACATAAGGAAAATATTTTCGCATCCTTCCGATTTCGCTATGCGCTTGCTAGGCTGTATTACAAAAATATAAAGGAATACACGTATAACGAACAAAATGAAACGAGTAAGAACAACCTCCCCACCCACTTTGCTCCGAAAACAAAGTAGATGCCTGGCTAAAGTCATCATGTTAGTAAATAAGCATGAACAAGCGACGCATGGCGTACCGACGGGAATTCCATCTACGGTTTGAATGTACACTCTCCACTCTCCAGTGCCTGTTCCGTTTTTGGAAGCGAAATCGAAGGAGATGAGACGTTCACCTGAAAAGATAAAGAAGAGAAACAGAAAAAAACCCTCAACAAACAAGTAAAGGAATAATTTCAAATTTCAAAAAGCTTTCCACTCCTAACAAAACACTAGCGTTTTTCACGTTTGACGTCTCACCACTATCATGATAATGCAACCACACAGAGAAAATGGCAGACATCAGCTGTCGAGAGCTTACAACAATACAGTGTCTATGTGGACATGACGAGGCAAATGCATATAATACATAAATCGTAAATGAAAAGAAATTTCAACTGCCGCAAGCTTCAGTATTATATTTAACCACTCTGGCCATGAAATTGTATGGGCTTAACGCCCCCCCCCCCACCTCCCCCGTTTCAATACAGTAAGGTAAGAGTTGGGACCTCCAAATTTAAAGACCATCCCTGATAGGAAAACATCACCGAGCCAAGTGAGTGGAAAGCCTTGGGGGGGGGAATAATAACATAAAAAACAATCAAAATTTGTTACGCACGAAAGGCGCGTTTATGAAGAAGAGAGACTCCAGCTGATCCTTAACCAGCTCAAGAATGTCCCGTTAGAGAATCAAACAAGACCCATCTAAACAATTACGTACTACCTAGTAGGATATCAAGAAATGCTAATGACACCACCCCTCCCCTACCCCGGATAAAATAAAATAAAATAACCCCCACAAAAACAAACTAAAAGCATAAACAAAAACAAGATTAAACGTGTGTACCAACTTAATCAAAGAAATCCAACAGTTATTCGCTTTTGTCCGTCAGGTTCAACAAAAACTGGGTTTCAGTTTTTACCACAAGTTGTTTAGTTTAGTTTTGTTTTAGTAGAGGGTTTTACGGCGCTCGCAACTGCATAAGGTCATATGAGCGCCAGAAGATTAGAGGTGTTACAAGAGAGTAACAAACATTTTAAAAAAAGAAGAAGGGGAGATAAGGGCGATAGGTGTTTGATAGGAAAGAAGAAGCAAACCACACAAGAGCACCCGCCAACCATCCACCCACAACTTGTAAGATTTTGAGATCTCTGACCTTGGGGTCCAGTGGCAGGGGTGACGACGAGTTTCGTGATGAGAGCATCTCCCGAGTCGAACACAGGGCACGTCTTCAGCTCCTCGCAGAAGTAAATCGGGTCAAGGTCAGCTCTGAAATTAAAATTAAAATTAAATAACATTAAGCTATATTCCAGTAATGTTTGATCTTTGTGTGGAAAAATTCGCGTACACAAACAAACACACACACATACACACACAAACACAAACATACACACACACACACACACACACACACACACACACACACACACACAC